AAACTTTTTAATTTCTTTTTTCATTTCTTCTAATACCCTCTCATGTTGAAGCACAGTGTTATTCGACTTCCAAATGTACGTTTTTTTCCTCCTTTATCCTCTTGCTATTAATTTCTAGTTTTGTAGCATTGTGATCTGAGAAAATGCTTTGTGTTATTTCTATATTTTTTAATTTATTGATGCTTGCCTTGTGACCTAAAATGAGATCTATTCCCAAAATGATGATCTATTCCATCAGCTTTGGAGAAGGTATACTGTGCTTTTTTGAGGGGTGTATTTACTTATAAATATCTGTGAGATAAATTTGGTTTTTTGTGTGGTTTAATTCTTCAGCGTCTTTGTTGAGTTTCTTTCTGGTAGTTCTATCTTTTCTCGAGAGTGGTGTATTGAAGTTTCCAACTACTATTGTGGTGTTGTCTATTTCCTTTTACAGTTTTGTTAATGTTTGTTTTATATATTTTACAGCTCTATCATTTGGTACATAGATATTTATTATTGTTATGTCCTCTTGTTCTATTGACCCTTTAAGCATTGTGTGGAGACCTTCTTTGTTCTTTTTGATGGTTTTTGTTTTGAAATTTATTTTATCAGAGATTAATATTACTACTCCTGCTTTTTGCTGGTTGTTATTTGCTTGGTATAATTTCCCCACCCTTTTATTTTTAGTCATTCTTTATCTTCACTTTTTAGGTGTGTATCTTGTAGAGAGCATATTGATGGATTTTGGTTTTTTTATCCAATCTACTCCCCCTTTTCTCTTCAGTGGTGTATTTAAACCATTCACATTCAGCGTGATTATTGAGAGGCAAGATTTTATTGGTATCATTTTGCTGAGTTCTTACTGTTGTTGTTGCTAGTTACTTTGGTCCATCCTGCTCTCTGTGTCACTTCTGTAAGAAGGACATCTCTCAGTATTTCCTGCATTGCTTTTCTTGTTTTTACAAACTCCCTTAGGTTCTATTTTTTCTGAGAATATCTTGATTTTTCCTTCATATTTGATGGACAATTTGTTGGGTACAGTATTCTTGGTTGATACTTGTGTTCTTTGACTATTCAAAATATGTCTTTCATTGTCTTCTTGCTCACATGGTTTCTGCTGAGAAGTCGGCACTTAATCTTTTATGCTCTTCTTTATAGGTTACTCTTTGATTCTCCCTCTCTGCTTTCAGAATTCTCTCCTTATCATCTAGCAAATGGTTCTGGCAAATCTGACTATGATATGCCTTGGTCTTTTTCTTTTGGGATGTATTTTATATAGTGTCCGCAGAGCTTCTTGAATGTATATTCTCTCATTCTTCATTATGCCTGGAAGAATTTATTCTAGTAAATTTTCTACAACTTTTTAGTGCCTGTACTTGCTTCTTCCTGTTGTGGGATTCCAATGATTTGCATGTTATTTCTTTTGATGCTATCCCACATTATTCTTAGGCTTTCTTCTTTTTCCTTCTTTTTGGATTCTACTTTTTGTTCTAGCAGATCACTGCTGACAATTCTACCTTCTATTTCACTGGTTCTGTGTTCCATCTCTTCAGCCCTGTTCATGTGTCCCTCCATCATGTTGACAGCACCTGACACAGTAGTCCTCTCCTATTTTGTATTTTGGTTTCTTGTATTTCCAGGGCCTCTAATTCCTCATTTGTTTTTCTGCATTGTTTTGGATTATTTGTTTGTTTGTTTGTTTTAAGCTCCTCCTGGTTTTTGCTTTCAGTATCCTGTAATTCTTCAAGTTTGTCTTTCACCCATTGAAAATATTCAGTCGTTGTGCTTTTAAATTCTGTGTCAGAAAGTTTCATCAGACTTTCTGACTTCATAAAATCCATTGACACGGTTTTACTTTTGGGAGGTGACATTTTGCTTTTTTCTTGTATAGGTTGTGAGGTAGCCTGCTTCTTATGTGACATTGGGGTTTTGTGTGTGTGTGACATTGTTGTAGTAGAGTTTTTCACACCTTAAGCTATAGTAGATTCTTGATCCAGATGAGGGTGGGGCAGCTACCCTGCCTAGGTTTCTCTCTGAACTTCTAATTCAAGGGAAAATTTGCTTCAGTTCAGGAGAGAAAGTTCTTGGAAAGCAATCTTCTGTGTCAGACAACTGCTGCAGCTAGGCCAGTGTAAGATGCTCTATTCTAAAGGCAGTTAATTGACTGTCTGTGGGAGATGTAAGTCAGAGTGCGAAGATGCACACAGGACAGGCAGGCATGGAGACTTGAATGGACCAGGAAGCCCTGGTTTTTCTCTTTGAGAATTCTGGCACCTCACTTGAGCTCTTGCTGTCTCACTCCCTTCTACTTGATCTGGAGGGGGTCCCCTGTGGACCAGCCAAACAGCACTGATCCCCACAAATTACCTCACTCAAATTTCAGCTGTCATGCTCATTCCAGTGTTGCTGCCCAATTTGTTCCCACTGTGTCATCTAGCATATTATTTTTTAAAAGTAGATAGTATCATTACTTTACTCAATAAATACATATCAAATGCATAGCACTGCAGAGACTGGAAGTACAAAAGCTAACAAAGTCTAAATCCTCATTGAGCTCATATTCTGGAGAAAAGGTGGTGACTTACATAAAACAGATACATATACGATTAAAACAAGCTTGGAAGCAGGAGTGGCATCTACTTCCGAAGTGGCTTGCCTCTAGAAACTCTATGAACGTGGAGAAACGACAAAAGTTATACAAGTGTTCAGGTCTTTCATTCATAGGGTCGCTATGAGTCATTTACGACTTGGTGGCTCTTAACAACAGCAACAACGAGAAAACTCTATTGGCCTAGTGGATAGAATGTTATGCTACCATACCAAAGGTGGGTGATTTTAATTTGTGGCCCTCAGACATGGTGTTAATTGATTGTTTTTTGTCAAACATTCTTCTACGTGGTATAGCACTGGTCTGTCCATTTGCTGTATGTGGTTGCTGTGATGCTGAACACTGTAACACTGATGTGTCAAATATGATAATGATTACCCATGGTGGACAGTGTTTGGTGGAGCGCCCCGATTAAATCAAGCTTGGAAGCAGGAGTGTTATCCACTTCCAAAATGGCTTCCCTCCAGAAACTCTATGAGGGTGGAGAAATGATTAACGTTATACAGGTGTTCAGGTCTTTCATTCATAAGGTCACTATGAGTCATCTATGATTTGATGGCACTTAACAACATCAACAACATATGTGGCCTTAACTCAGATTGGGGAAAGTACTATGAATAAGAGTAAAGTAGGATAATGGACTGGCCCCTCAAAAACTCTGGCATGGATGGGGTGGTTATATATGGGCTTTCTAAATCAAGCAAAGATCTGGGTGATGATCATTAGGAATGTCCAGTGGAAGTTTGTAATGTTGAAAAAAGCATGGAAACATCTCCAGGGAGTACCAAAGAGAGAGTTTTATGGTAAGTTGGAGCCAGAACAAGAAAGATCTTGTATGTCATGCCAAAGAGTTTTTCATTTTATTCTTTGACTGGGGCCATCAAGAGTGCTAGAACAAAGTTGATTGCAATCATTATTGGCAATTTGGAAGGTGATTTAGAAGAGGAAAAGGCTAGAGATGCTTGTCAATCACGTTACGAGGAAAGTTCATAAGATAGGCTATGATGTTGAGAGTCCAGGAACTTGCCATGGGATGGAAAAGGAAGGTGTGGATTTTAACAAGAAATTAAGCATTATGAGGCATGGAGATTTTTACTTGGTTTTAGTCTGCTACACTATTAGGCACATAATAGATGTTCAATAAATATCTGATGCATGAATGGAAAATTTGATAACTGATGATATTTTGGAAGGAAATGAATGACATTGAACATGACACTATGGTTTCCTGTTTGTGTGCTTAGATGGAAAGCGGTTGCATCAGTTAAGATTGTGAGAATCAGATGGACTACATGTGGTTGGGGTAAGGATAGGAAATGCTGAGTCCCAATAATGTGTATACCTGCTGTGATTAAACTGTATATCCCCAACATGCATAACTGCCCAATTTCTTTCAACGTGTTAAGTTTTGCACTTGAACTCTAGGACGTAGGTGTGCGATTTGTTGACAATTCTGGAGAAGTGCAAAGAGATAGAACAGTGGGCCTGTGAGGGAAGGAAATGTAGCTCACTTGCTCTCACTGGTTGGTTATGGTTGGAAAGTTGGGAAAGGAAAACGTGCACCTTTGAAATATTGACCTTTTGTTGTTTGCCATTAATTTAAATAGGGTGTTAGGCTATCAGATGCAGGCCCTGTGAACCCTATGAACAATAGTCTTAGAGATAGTCTTTTTAGAGGTGAAACTTTGTCTCACATACTTTAGGCATGTTGCTAGGCGAGGTTATTCCTTGGAGGGGAACATCATGCTTGGAAAGGTACAGAGTCCACTAAAGAGAGGAAGACCCTCAACGAAATGGGCTGATGAGGGTGGCATAGGGTTCAGATCTGCTCTTGTGCTTGACTCAATGACACCCAACAACAACAACAACAAAATGTTCATCTCTTGTTGTTGATTATTGGTACAAAATAATATTATGGGCTATCAGATGAGGGCCCTGTAGTTCCGTCCCCTCTGGACCAGCAGCCCACCTGCATGTAGTGGAGGGAGGGCCTGGTGCTAATCTTGCCACATCGAAGGCTTTACCTCAAGTCTCCTAATGCTTCTGGCATCTCTTGACTTTCCCACCAAGTGCCTGTACTGGGTGGTAGATTTACCTGGAGGTGGAGGCTTTTAGATCCTGATCTCAGAGAATAATGTAGTACCTCCCAGCTGGGACTAGCCATTTCTCCTAAAGAATAATAATAAATGAGAAAAGTGAAAGGAAGCTGCTTAGCAATCCACTCATCACCAACACCTTTACTGCCCAGGTCCAGTACCAGTGGGGCACTTCTCTTTTGTGCCACTGATATGTGAGCTTTCAGAACTACAGGTTTACAAAGAATAACAGTAAGAGGTGCAATTCTTCCCACAGGAAGTCACTGTTGTGTCAAGTATTTGATTGTGTGAACTTTGATTTTTGCAGATTTGGTAGGATGGCAGCCTCAGGAGACAGAGGAACGGGGGCAGAGGCACGCAAGGAAGGAGAGTCTGACATAGGCTTGAGTGACATAGCGCTGCTCACTCCACCAAGTATTTGTTTCCAGAACCCTGGGAACACAGCTTATCATTTTCCCATTCAGTTTCAAGAACTTGAAAACCATATCAACGCCTCCTGCAACCCTGATATTAACTTTAAGAGTCCAGGCCACCATCAAGGTCAAGTTAACACACAGCAAACTTTATCCAGCTGTGTTCCCTCACTGCTGAGTGGTCAGGGCTTGAATAAAAAGACAAGGATAAGGTGCAGAACAAACATGCCCGGCAAAAGTGTGGCCATAGCAGAGAGGAAACCCAGTGACAAAAGAAACACAAGTAAGAAACCATGTTCAGAGAAGCAAAAAGCACTTCAGGAACCACTGAGAGCCAAGGCAAAACGAGCTTGTGAGAAGGAAACCACAGGTCGCGCCCAGCCTGCTGGCAAGCCGCGATTTATCAGCAAAGTCCAAATGCTTCCCTACAAGGAGAGGGTGATTCATTTGTTGGCACTAAAGGCTTATACAAAACCTGAGCTGCTGCTTCAACTGCAGAAAGATGGCATCCTTAAAAAAGACAAAAATTCTCTTGGAAAAATTCTCCAACAGGTTGCTACTCTGAATCCCAAGAACTTTTCTTACAGTCTGCGAGACTTTTTTTTTCAGAACATCCAGAGAGACTGGCCCGGCTACAGTGAAGCAGACAGACAGTCCTTGGAGTTGATACTTGCCAGAAGATCAGAGCAAAGTCTAAAGGCTGATGTCACCAACCATCCAGAACCTTCCAGAGCCACCGATACAGTCAACACTTTACAGAAACAATGCTTGGAGCCGGTTTTCATTGATCCCTTAAAGAAAAATAAAGTCAGAATATCTCACCTGACCACTGGAGTGCAGACCACATCGTGCACTCAGTTGGAGTACGGTGATAGAATATTGTAGATTTCCTGCCATCTTCAGAACTTCTAACTCAGCCCATCTCTCCACTTTCGCCCTCACCCCTCCCTTTTACTTTAGATTCTTCCCAGGCTATAAATTTCAGCTGCTGTTCCTGCAGCACCCCCAGAGAGTCCCGAGGAGACTCAAGAGCCACATGATGACAGTCAGTCAACATATTAACATCTTAGAACACAAGGAAGGTCGCTGTAGCCCCCTGCGAGTGCTGTGCTCTATTTCCCTTCAAATGAAGTATCCACAGACCGCAGAGGAAAATCATTCAACAGCTGATGACAAGCTCAAATTTTCATGCTTAGAACTCCAAGCAAATGACCAGAGGTTTAGCATTGAGGCAATGGTGACACCGCATGCAGATCCTGCAAGACAAGCAAGAGGTGCAAAGTTAGATTCTAGCAAAGGCTTTGGAAGGGCTTGCATTTCTTTAGAAGAAAGCTTTTCAGCATCTGAGACCTCCGATTATCTGACCAAGTACTCCACTATAATCTCTCTCGAGCAACGTCTGCAGTATGCAGAGGCATTTCAAGCAGAGAATGGTGAGTATCAGGCTTCGCGGGACAAGATACTGACTTCATCTTGTCCACTTCTTGGCCTTGGTACAAAGATTAAAGTACTTTCTCCAGACCCAGACAAATTTAAGAATGATGGTAAAGAAATCATACTGGAGTATAGGAAAATGAAGCAGGGTAACTCCATTCTCAAAGCAGAAATCAAGAGGTGCCAGTACCTTTATAACAAGTTGTCTTACATCAAAAGATTAATACATGGTTTTGACCAGGACTGTGGGGGAACCTGAATAAACGTAATGGCTTATTGAATATTCCAGATCACTTGTTCTAAGATATGGAAGTGGCAAAACTTTTCTATTAAAACGCTCTGTAGTCATACGTTATAGTTTTGCATTTCTTTTTATGTTTCTTTTATAGGTGCTTTTCCTTTTATGTGTATTTGTTTATCTTACTTTTTATTTCCTTTTGCTTTGCTTTGTTCTATTGTTGATATTGTTTTTTAGGAAAATGTGTTTTTACATCTCCCCCCCCCTTTAAATTGAGGATCCACTCTCTGAGTTACTAAATCAGAAATGTGTTGTTATGTGCCATAGAGTTGCTTGAGACTCATAGCAACCCTATATATGAGCCCTAAATGCTGGTCTATCCTGTGCCAACCTCACCATCTCTGACACACTCATTTCCACCCCCCCCCCCAATCACAAAATCGATCCATCTCATCGAGGGTCTTCCTCTCCTGCACCATCCCTCCACCCTTCCAAACATTATGTCCCTTTCCAAGGACAATCCCTTCTTGCAACATGCCTAAAGTATGTCAGATGAAGCTTCAGAATCCTTGACTTCAAGGAACATTCTGGCTTTGTATACCCCTGAAAATTAAAAGCCTCTGAGAGGTAAGGCTTCCTAACAGACATCACACCTTTTTGAACTTTCTAACTTCAAACTCTTCCTAAAAACTGAGCACTTTGGAGATTTTCACAAAATACTATTGATTGTTCAAGCACGTGTTTTACTTCATTGTTTGTTGACTTCAGTTGAGAAGGTCACTTGTTTTTGTCTTGGGGAAACATATGCTCTGTGATCCAGCTATCTACTGAGATATTTACACACCAAGTATATGCATGTGTGGGTGCATGTACACACACACACACACACACATCATACAACAGAGCGCCTGATGAACTGCACTCACTCAATGGTAGGTGCCACATTACTACCATTATTATTATTGTATTAGTTATCTGAAGAGTTCTGGTGGCATGGTCCATTATATGTTGCACTCCCAACAGAGGTCAGAGTTTCAAATTCACCAGATAGTGTTTTCCCATAAATATTTATGGCTTGGGGTTGCTGAGGTGAAACCAACTTAATGACAGTGGTGTATTAGTTACCTATCACCATGTAACCATTGTTGTTGTTGTTAGTAACCATTGTTGTGGTGGTGGTGGTTAGATGCCCTCGAGTTTAGTACGACTCATAGCGACCCTATGAACAAAAGATCTGAACCCTGTTCTATCTTGTTCCATCTTCACGCTTCCTGACACATAAGAGCCCATTGCAGCAGTCGCCATGTCAATCCACCTAGTTGAGGGTCTTCCTCTCCTTCACCAATCTTTCACCCTTCCCAGCATCGTGTCCTTCTCAAAGGAATAGCACCACTTAGCAAGATACTCAAAGTACGTTAGGTGAGGTCTCATCATTCCTGACTCCAAAAACCACTCCAGCTGCACACTCTCTGTTTTCTTGGCCATTCCTGGGCTGTTCAGTGTTTTTCTCCAAAACCACAGCCCAGAGGTGTCAATAATTCTGTCATCCTTATTCATTGTCCAGCTCTCAGATGCATAGCAAGTAATCGGAAAGACCATGGCCTGAATCAGACATACCTTAGTCCTCCAACTGACATTATTCCTCAATAATTTGGAGAGGTCCCTAACTGCAGAGTTATGCAGTGCAATGCACCTCCTTATTTCCTGACAGCTGGTACCAAGGGTGTGAATTGTGGATCCAAGCAAGATGAAGCTGATAACAGTTTCAATCTCCTCTCCATCCATCATGACACTGCCTATTGGTCCAGTGGTAAGAATCTTGATTTTCTTGTTATTGAGATGCAATCCATACTGAAGCCTGCATTCCTTGATTTTTTGCAACAAGTACTTCAAGTCCTCCTCACTTTAGCAAGCAAGGTTGTGTCATATGCATAACACATGTTATTGATTAGTCTTCCTCCAATCTTGATGGCACTCTACTCTTCACAGAGTCAAGCCTTTTGAATAATTTGCTCGGCATACAGATTGGATAGGTATGGAGAGGGAATACAAATCTGACAGTCCTTTCTCAATTTTAAAGCATGCAGTGTTCCTCTGTTGTGTTCACACAACAGCCTCCTGGTCTAGGTATAGGTTATGCATGAGCATAATTAAGTGCTCTGGGATTTCCATTCTTCTCAATATCAACAACTACTTGTCATGATCCACACAGCCAAATGCCTTTGCCTCCACATTCTTCTGGTATTTTCTACTTTGAGCCAGGATCCATCTGACATCAGCAATGATATCCCAGGTGCCACGGTATCTTCTAAATCCTGCGTGAACTTCTGGCAGTTCCCTATCTATGTCCTGTCCTAGCCATTTTAAAAATGATCTTCAGCAGTATTTTGCTTGCATGTGATATTAATGATATTGTTCGATAGTTTCTGCATTCTATTGGATCACCTTTCTTAGGAATGGGAACAAATATGGACCTCTTCCAAACTATTGGTCAAACAGCTGCTCTCCATATTTCCTGGCATAGACTGGACTGGTGAGCATATCCAAGGCTGCATTTGTTATCTGAAATAATTTAATTGGTCCCATTAATTCTTGGGACCTTATTTTCTTATGACTGCCTCTTGGTTCAAGTATGTTGTTGTTGTTATGTGTTGTTGAGTCGCTTGTGACTCATAGTAACCCTATATATAAGAACCCTAAGACCTGTTCTATCCTGTGCCAACCTCACTGTCTCTGACACACCTACTCCCACCACCCCAATCACTGAGATGATCCATTTCATCAAGGGTTTTCCTCCCTGCACTCTCCCTCCACTCTCCCAAACATGATGTCCCTCTCCAAGGACTGGTCCCTCCTTGCAACATGCCCAAAGTATGTCAGACGAAGCTTCAGAATCCTTGCGTTCAAGGAGCAGCACGTCTTCACCCTCTCCAGGTCAAACCTGTAGAGGTTTCACATAAGTACAATCAAATGTTCTGGGATTCCCATTCTTCTCAGAGTCAGCCACAATTCATTGTGATACACACAGTCAAACGCCTTTGCATAGTCAATAAAACAGACATTTGTCTGTTACTCTCTGTTTGCAGCCAAGATCCAACTGACATTAGCTATAATATCCCTAGTGCCATGGCCTCTTCTAAATCCAGCCTGCACTTCTGGCAGTTCTGTTAATGATGTGCTGTTCCAGTCATTTTTTTATTATCTTCAGCAGAATCTTGCTTGCATGTGATATTAATGATACTGTTTGATAATTTCCACACTGTTGAATCACCTTTCTTTGGAATGGGAACAAATATAGATCTCGTCCAGTCAGTAGGCCAGGTGGTTGTCCTCCAAATTTCTTTACACAACTTGGTAAGCTCATCCAGGGCAGCATCTGTTGAAATATGTTAATTGACATGCCATCAATTCCTGGGACCTTTTATTTTGCAAATTCTTTGAGAGCAGCTTGAACGTCTTCCTTCATCACCACAGGCTTTTGTTCATATGTTATTTCATGAAATTCTTTTGTGTCCGTTGATTCTTTTTGGTACAATGACTCAGTATACTCTTTCCATCTTCTTTTGATGCTTCCCGGATCATTTAATATTCTGCCCAAAGCATCTTTAAGTTTTGAAACTCGAGGTTTGAATTTGTTCTTCAGTTCCTTCAGCTTAAGAAATGTTAAGCGAGTTCAGCCCCTTTGAATTTCCAACTCCAGCTCATTGCACATTTCATTGTAATACTTTATTTTCCCTCACTGCCTTCTGGAATCTTCTGTTCAACTCCTTAATATTTTTATTTCTTCCCTTTGCTTTGGCTTCTCGGTGCTCCAGTGCATTATTTAGGATTTCTTCTGACATCTATCTTGGTCTTTTCTTCTTCCTCTGTCTTTGTTATGACCTTTTGCATTCTTCCTGGATGCTATTCTTGATATCTTCCCACAGCTCATGTGGTCTTTGCTCATTAATGTCCAAGGCCTCAAACCTGTTCCTGAGGGGGTTTGAAATTCAAGTGGGATAGACTCAAGGTAAAATTTTGGTTCCTGTGGGCTTGATATACTTTTCCTCAGCTTCAGATTGAACTTCCATATGAGTAGTTGGTGGTCTGTTCCACAATCAGCACCTGCCCTAGTCTTCACAGCTGATATTGAGCTTTTCCAGCGATTCTTTCCACAAATGTAATCAATCTGATTCCTATGAATACCATCAGGTGAAATCCATGTGTATAGCCTGTGTTTGTGTTTCTTATAAAATATATTTGCAATGAATAAATCGTTGGTTGTGAAAAATTCTATCTCAGGCTTCATTTTGGTCACCAAGTCCATGTTTTCCAACTGCTGCTCCTTCTCTATTCTCAACTTTTGCATTCCAGTCACCCATTATTATTAAAGCATCTTTATTGCATGTTCGAGCAATCTCTGACTAGAAATGTTGGTAGAAATCTATTTCTTCCTCTGTGGCTCTCGCTGTTGGTGCATTTATTTGAATGATGGTGATATTCACTGGACTTCCTTGTATGTGTATGGATATTATTCTGTCACTCACAACATTATATTTCAAGATGGATCTAGAAATGACTTTTTGACTATGAAAGCAACCCCATTATCCCTCACCTTTTCTTCTCCAGCATGGTAGATCATATGATTCTCTGACTCAAAATGTCCCATGCCAGTCCATCTCATTTCACCAATACCTAGTATGTCAATATTTATGCCTTCCATTTCCCCCTTAACAATATCTTATTTTCCTATATTCATGGTACTTACATTCCATGTTCCAATCACTAGTGTCTGCTTACAGCTGTTCCTCCTTCTCTTTGTTTCCATACTTGAGGGCTCAGCCGCAGTTGCCATATCTGCTAGTCTAAGTGTGCTTTGCTGTACATAGGCTTTTCAAAGGCCTGCTATTTCAGAAGTGAATGGCCAATGTTTCTTCCTAGTCTGTCTTAATTTGATTGCTCAGATTTAGAACATTATCTGACAGACAAGAATTTTACAGAAAAGAGCAGATTAAAGATATTCCTCGGTAGAAAAAAACCAA